TAGGGAAATTTAGGACCAATGATGAAAAAAGCAAAACAAAGCAAATAGGAACCAACAGAACATCCGTAGATTTTTTATTCAGCTGACAAAAATGACATCAAAATTTTCTGTGCAACCAGTTTGATGGGAATTCCTCAGGAAGTAGTTATCAGTCAAAATAAACTGACCCAGATGACTACAACATCCGAATTGATAAACAATACCGAGACTGAACTATTTAAGGAAGTAGAGCGTCAGGTACCAACTGAACTATGGTATCAATATGACTCATATATAGGATTGATCAAATCAGCAAACCCAGTGAGAGTACAACTTAAGCCAGATGCACGTCTGCCCAGAAAGTCACAATACCCTTTGCGTCCTGATGCTGAAACAGGTATAAGGAACACTATTGGAGGTTTAGTGAAGGCAGGAGTACTAACAGAAACATCTAGTTATTGTAACACTCCAATTATGCCTGTAATCAAAGCAAACAAAAACAGATGGCGTCTTGTTCATGACCTACGAGCAATCAATGATATAATAAAGGATTTCCCAGCTGACGTACCAAACCCGCACACGTTACTGACGAATGTCCCTCCTGATGCCAAATACTTTATGGTAATTGATCTCTGTTCGGCCTACTTCAGTGTTCCACTAGCAGAGGGGAGTAGATATTTATTTGCATTTACATACGTGGGTAAACAGTATACCTACACCAGAATGCCTCAAGAATTTAAACATTCGCCACATATATTTAATCAAATAGTTAAGGCTGATTTAGAGGATCTTATGATAGACAGTACTCTGTTACAATATGTAGATGATTTGATTATTTGTTCTACATCACTAGAACAATGTCATAAAGATTATATTAAGGTCCTAACGAAATTAGCACAAGGTCACAAAAGTATCCAAAACCAAAATACAGTATTGCTAGCCTCAAGTTGAATACTTAGGATGATTGATTGTATTTGGCACACGAGCTATAGCTCCAGCTCAATTGGAAGGAATAAGTATAAGTATAACACCACTGCCTCAAACAGTAGGACAAATGATGACTTTTCTAGGGATGACAGGCTTTATTGCTGATTGGATAGAGGACTATGCAGCAAAAACAGCTCCACTGAGAGAAATCATGAAACAAGCAGGACTGCAACATTTTGGTAATCCATTAAAATGGAACACAGATGCATTACTAGCATTTGAGACTATAAAAAAAGAACTACAAAAAGCCCCTTCCCTTGGAAATCCTGAATACTCTAAACTATTTCATTTGTATGTCGCAAATAGAGCTGATGGTTATGCATCAGCTGTATTGATGCAAGAGACTTGTAGTGGTAGGATAAAACAGCCTATAGCTTACTAAATATAATTGATACAGTACAAAGTTGGACAATGTAGCACAAGGTTACCCACCATGTTACCAACAAGGCCTTGCAGCATGCAATAAACTTGCAGTATATTATGCATATGAGAAAGCATCTACAATAACCATGGGGTACCCAGTAACTATTTATACTCATCACAAAATTGTGGAGTTAATAGAACAAGGAAGGGCTGTACGTTAACTTTTTTTTCACATAGCACTGGTGCTACAAAGGTTGAAATTTTTGTAGCACAGGCCAAAAAGTTGTAGCACAAGTATAAAACATCTGTTATCATGTCTGAAAACAAACACAAGTAATGGAGTTCATCACTTAAACAGGCACTGATGTTCCATACAGAGCTTACTATTAAGCGATGTCATACAGTTAATCCAGCTGAATTAATTCCGTTGGCTTTTGAAGGAAAGCCCCATCCATGATTGTGTGACTGATTCATTGGCATTTATCAGATTACGGCCAGATCTTGAGTCTACACCAATCCCTGAAGTAGAAGTCACTTACTTCGTAGATGGTTCTAGCTTTAGAGATCATGTAGGAAATCATACAGGATATTCAGTAGTAAAGAAGGACAAGGAAGAATTTGTGCCTGTGATATCACAACATTGTGTACAGCCTTGCTCTTCTCAATTAGCAGAATTAAAAGCTCTCACAGCTGCATGTCAATTAGCAAAAGGACAAACAGCCAATATTTTCACTGATTCAGCATATGCTCATGGTATATGTTACTTGTTTGGAGCAGTATGGAAACAAAGAGGTTTTAAAAAGAGTGACGGGACTCCCATACAACATGCTGAACAAATAGGTCAATTAATTTCTGCTATGATGATACCAAAACGACTAGCGATAATCAAGTGTCAGGCTCATAAATAAAGGAAATGATTTTGTCATTAAGGGGAACAATGCAGCGGATTTGGAAGCTAAAAAAGCCTCAGGGTGTCAGGTAGCAGTATTAGCACCTGTAGTACTTATAGAACCTCAACCCCAGTTGGATGATATAATTTGAATTCAACAAAAAGCAGGCCCCTATGAACACTCAATGTGGCACCAAAGGGGAGCCAAAAAAGACAAGCAAGATATTTGGCGTATACATGAAGGACAAATTGTTGCCCCAACCCCAAATATTCTCATTTCAGATGCGCATGGTTTTGACCATTGCGCACGGGGGGAAGTGATAAGGAAAATTAAACAGCAAGGATATTGGTCTCCTTATTTACATGTAATGGTAGATGAATTTCTGGCCACATGTGAAGTTTGTGCCAAAAACAATGTGAGAAAAGGAATAACAACACCAATAGGCCACAAACGTATATAAGTGCCATGACAAGTCTCCGTTAGTTTAGCACAGTACACGTAGCTAGGTTTTTTATTTTTTATTTTTTTTATTATTATTAAATAATAGAATGGAATAGAACTGAATAGAATAGAATAGGTAAGTGCTAGTATTAGTTGGTCAGGTGCTGGCGAAAAAGATGTGTCTTTAGATTTTTTTTTTGAAAATGGCTGTTTGAATTGAGATCGGGAGGTCATTCCACCAGTCCAGGAAAAGGTCCGTGAGAGTGATGTTGTGCCTCTTTGGGATGGCACCACAAGGCGCCGTTCACTTGCAGAACGCAAGCTTCTGGAGGGCGCATAAGTTTGAACTAGCGAGTTTAGGTATATTGGTGTAGCGCCAGTGGTGGTCTTGTAGGCAAGCATAAGTACCTTGAATTTAATGCCTAGCGGCTACTGGTAGCCAGTGTAACCTGATGAGGAGAGGAGTAACGTGAGCTTTTTTTGGCTCATTGAAGACCACTCTCGCTGCTGCATTCTGGATCAGTTGCAGAGGCTTGATAGTGCATGTGGGAAGGCCCTCCAAGAGAGCATTACGATAGTCCAGTCTGGAGAGAATAAGAGCTTGGACAAGAAGTTGTGTGGCTTGCTCTGACAGGAAGGGTCTAATTTTCCTAATGTTGTATAAGGCAAATCTGCAGGACCGGCCCATTGTAGCAATGTGGACGTTGAAGCTTAACTGATCATCGATCACAACTCCTAGGTTTCTGGCTGTCCTGGAAGGAGTTATGGTTGATGAACCAAGATGTATAGAGCAGCTGTGATGAAACGATGGGTTTGCTGGAACCACAAG